TAACAACAGCTTGCTTCTGTGACCTACGCTCCCAAAAAGGCGTAAGTAATAAAACTGCATTGCAACCACCAAGCGTCTGTGCCGTCTCTGCCCCGCTAGCCCCTGCCTGTTCGTCCGAGCTCATTGCCATTAGACTGGCGCTCAGGACCGCTGACCACCGCAACCATGAGTCTGGGCTCTTGCTTTGTCCTTCAGAGTGTGCTCCCATAGCCTTTCCCATCCATGGGGTCACCCACAAAGCAGTGGGGGCTGAGGCTTTCTGTCACCCCATACTCGCCCTTCACTGGGGAGGCTGCAGGTGTAGCATTTCTTGGAAGCTTCCCTGTCACAAGCAGCCCCACTACACCATCCAACCCCATCAGGGTGTAGTTTTACGTTATGCCCCAGGACCAGGAGCTTCCAGCCATCCCCATAACTCCTGCCCTTACCTCTAAGGTGTCACAAGCAGCAGCTCCAGCTGGGTGGTTGTTCTTCTGGCTGCTAGCAGCAAACTGGTGCTGGCTTTGCTGTTCAGAACCCCTGTTCTTACAGGGCATGCTGGGCCCTGTTCCCAATCAGGCAATTATGCCCAATTGGGTTTGCAGCCAGCTGCAGGCTGCCTTGCTGCTTCTCAGGCCCCTGCAAGTAACAGAGCACACCTTGTGCTCTGTTACATCTTCCAAGCCTAATTTTCTATGATTTCTATGATTCCTGTGTGGGTAGGCATGTCTTTTGTGTGTGAAGGGGCTGGCACTGTGTGGGTCACCTGCAATCCCACAGATTTGTATTCACCTTTGAGCACAAATCTGTGGGAAAACAAAAATAAATTGATGTTTTAGAGACAATGTATTTATTAATATAAAAAGAGATGGGGTTGAGTGCTGGGAAATGTGCTAAAACACACACTAAGCAGTATAAGAAGGAAAAACAGAAATGCCATCTAGCTTCTATTTTGTTCCTCTGATAAAAGTAATATTTCATCATGGCAGGTGTAGCACTTGCTAACAAGAACAGTCAGAACAGATTCTTTATCCATGTGGTCTCCACTTCAAACCAATGTCTCACATTAAAATGTTAACGTTTATGGAGATAATCTGGGATTTTTCAAAATAGCTCAAAATTACTAGACACTCAACTCCCATTGAAGGCCAGCATTACTTCAATATTGCTTCAAAAGAAATTCTCAAACATAAGTGTTAAATTAAAATATGGCCAGATACAAGATTAGTGGTTGTCCTACTTAATAGTTTCTTGTAGGTCTTGTCTTCCGTAATCTAATTTGCAGACATGGCAAATGTTTGTAAGTGGAGATAATTGGGGAGTACTATCACTACCTTCTTTCTAGACCCATCTCTAGAGTTTAAAAAGAATGCGGCACTGGAAGGATCGATCATACCGCAGCCAAATACCACCAATTTTTGTTGTTTGGCAAAATATATCTCCAGTGATGAGGTTGTTTTAAGGTTCTCAGTGCAACAAAGAGCCAGAGGCTGAGCATGGAACAGTAGTGACATGCTTAATTTTCTTTAACTTTTCTAGGGGGAACAATGTGTATTTGTAGGAGGTAGAGGGATGGAAGTTGGCCATTTACTTCAAGCCAGCCTCAGTTCTTTCTGTACTTACTCCATTTGCTTTGCTAAGAGCCTGGAAGTAGATGCTGTAGCTTTTCAGTGGTGAGAGTGGAGCATTCCAATATCCATTGTAGGTTTTGTTGTCACCCACTGTGAAGGGTTGAGTGACTGGCAGGTTGATGGGTTTCAGCTCAGCTGCAAAGTAATGGGGTGAGTCAAGGCTGGAAGCATTCTTGTAGCTCACTGGGACAGAGAAGCACTCAATGATGTCTGCAGCCCTCCGTGCCTTTTGCAGCCTCTCTTCTTTGACAACAAGCTGATAGACACTAGAAAAAGAGGAGAGAGGAAGGGAGATAATGAAAGGCACAATTAGAATTGCACCAATTCCAGCAGAAAAGGACAAAACAAACCTGATGCTGAATTTAGAATATTTCATATGGAAACAATGCCTCCAAAGGAGTCTCCACATTGTATGCAGTTACTAGTTCTTTGCCGTAGTAACAGCTAAACATCACAGGTGCTTTGTGGGCAAGATTTGGATAATTTACTTCATAAATTTAGCACAGTTATTTCAGACATACTCTGATGAAACTGAGAAGAGATACCAGTTTTACCTCCAATATTTGTAAAACACCTTGGGTTTTCAAAGGTTGAAAACTGTCACAGAAATGTGCTTTTTTGTCCTAATTAAATGTTACAGTTATACAGTGAAATGCATTTGAACAATTAATTTCAGTAACTATAGACATGGACAACAATAAGGCAAAGACAGAAATGTGTTAGGAGAAGTCGCAATATAAAACTGTATGTAGGCCAAATGGGATGATGGTTAGAAATATGTGAATTTGTTGGCAAATAGTTATTCAATTATTCAATAATTATAATTATTCAACACAAATTAACACCCGTGTCTACTGATTATTTGAAAATTTAGATCAAAGTGGGCAAATATTTCCGACTTAGCACTCTAACCATGGCAATCATTCTCACTTTGCCAATTTTTGGCCCAAAGAATATTTAGTAATTTCATCCAAAGGAGAGAGCGACCTATTTTGGATTGCTCTGTAAGGTACTTTTTCTGGGAAGTAAAGGATTTTGGTTCAAACCCTTGTTTCAAATCATGAAACCAGGGAATCTGAGAGCTCCCACTCTCTGGAAGACTGTCTTAGGTAGTCAAGTATATGAGGGGGAGAGGGAAACAGCAACAGCAGAATCATGGATTTGCAAATGTTGCTGGTTTCCAAATTTTCTTTGCTTAAATGTATATATTTATTTATTTATATATCACCCTTCTCAATAAAGGCTCAGGGCAGCTTACAGAAGACAACACAATAACATAGAACAAGCGAATTAGAGAACAAAACTGGAAAAACTATTTATAAATGCCAACAGAGAATTAAAATAAATTATATAGCAAAACCCTGATAAACAATAGCTGAGCTTAGCTTTCTTTGCCTGCTAAATGCTTATCAAAATAGAAAGGGCTTACAGCACTTCTGGAAGATGTGGCTTAGGCTGTGGTGGGCCTCAAGGAGGTGGTTGTTCCAGAGCTGACAGTTGACTACTGAAAACAACTTTTCATGTGTTTTTGCCAAGTAAACTTGGTGAATTGATCATACTTTACAGGAGATTTCTCTCAGCTGACCTTTAGGATTGCAGTAGGACATAAAAGAGAAGGGGGTCACTTAGGTACATAGGGCCTAAGCCATTAAGGGCCATATAAGTCAAAACCCACATCTTAGGTTTTGCCCAGAAAGCTTTTGGGAGCCAGCGCAGACTCTGATGCACCAGAGTCATATGCTCCTGGTGATCCACCCATGTCAAAGAGCAGGCTACTGTGTTCTTTACCAGCTGCATCTTCTGAACAATCACCAAAAGCATGCAGCCCATAATAGTAGCCTAGCCTCCAGGTTACAAAGGCATGAATGATGGTAGCCAGATCTGAATCTGAAAGAATGGGTCACAGCCTTCCAACCAGATGGAGCTAGTGAAAGGCAGTCCTGCCACCACCTGGAAATCCAGGTACAGCACAGGATCCAGCAGCAACCCAAGGATGCAAACCTGAAAGGGGAAGCTGAAGTCCATCAATGACAAGTGTCTAAATTCCTCCCACCCACCCCTCAGATCTTGCAAACCACCCACCATCATGATCTCTTCCTTCTCTGGCATCAAGTGGTTCACCCGCATCCAATCCCCAACTGCAGTCAGGCTGTGGGAGAAAATAGAGACTGCAGCGCCCAAGTCAGATGAGAAATTTAGAGGTGGGCATCAGCAACGTGCTGATGGCACTTCACTTCATATCTCCATGGAGATAGTGCTAGAAAAAAATACTAGAAACAAAAATGTATCATTAAATATAAAATAAACTTTCTGATTAATTCAAGGTTTACAGAAATGGTGTAAAGTTGACCCAAAACAATTTTTTCCCCAATTATGGTTCTCCTCTACCACTGAACCATAAAAGAATGGTTTTCATGGGCAAGAGGATCAATACTAGATACTGGAGATCATCCTTTATGATGCTGGGTATGGATAATAGGGGTGTGTGAAGTGGGCCCTATTCGATTCAGATTCAGCCCGAATCAGAGACAGTGATTCGATTTGTTGATTTGATTTGGCTGAATCTGAAGATTCAATGCTGATTCAGAGAATCAGCGATTTGGACATAGATACAGCCTTAAAATTTTTCTACATACCTGGAGGTAGCAAGTGCGGCTTATGATCGTTGTGATGCTGGGGCACATGGAGCATCCCACACGAGTGTGGGGGGGCCCTCCACGTGCTCAGTGGTGAACCCAGAAGTGGAATGGAAGTAATTCCGGTCCACTGCCATGATTGCTGGGGAGTGCGCTGGGCCCCCCCCACCCCCACGCCTACCCGGCTTGGCAACTGGCCGAAGGTGGAACCTGGATGCTCCTCTTGACCCAGAAGGCACCTGTTGCCAAGCTGGGGGGTGTGAGGGCCCCCCCGCCCGCGCACTCCCCGATGGACCTGGAAGTGGACCGGAAGTGCTTCTGGTCCACTTCCAGGTCTGCTGATGAGTGTGCTGGGCAGCCCCCCACACTCCTGTGGGGTGCTCCATGTGCTCCACCATTACAGTACTCATGAGCCCCTGCTACCTAGAGGTATGTAGAAAAAACATTTAAAGATGTCTCTATGTCCATATATCCAAACCTTTCTGAATCTCTCCAAATCAATTTGGAGGGTTCCAATTTGATTTGGAGAGATTAAAGGATCACCTGATTCAATTTGGATTCGGAGATTCAAACACTGAATCAGGTCAGATCTCCACTATATTAAATGAGGGACTGAAGCATCACGCAGCCCTAATGGATAAGCATATTTTAGGTGATTTACAAGAGCAGGGAAAGCTGCTGCTTGGGAGCATGCAACAGCCATTACATCTGCCTGATTCTGTAGTGATACAAGTTAGTCAACATGCCCAACCTTTAACCCTGAAGAAAGTAGGGTTTTATGAATATGCAACAACTGCATGGCATGAACTTGCATCAATACCCTTTGATACTGATACCACTGTTACATCTATCTATACTTTGTGCGAACCCAAATGGGTATATAAATAATGCAGATATGCAAATACACCTTTACTTTTTCTGCTGTGTTCTTTGGGATTCTGTGCTGGAGCAGAAATACTGAGAAATAGTGCTCCCATATCCATTCTCGATGAAAAAACATCTTCCTAATGTCCAATAGAAAAATTTGGTTTCCTAGCAAAGCATGTGGCTTTATATCCTTATTCAAACAAAACTGTTGGAAAACAGCAGTTCTTGATATTCTTTCTAGCAATATAAACCTCTAATTCCTTTGTGAATCCTGCTAAGATCTTGGCCTCAGTCTTACCTAGTTCCTGATATTTCTAGCCCAGATTCACAAACCTGAGAAGGTTGCACAGCATCCAAATGCACTTTCCTTTGTTTTCACAGACAGTTAACAAAGCCCTTAAGTTCAACACTGCTACAACTGAGGCAGACACACTGACTGCTTAACATTATTCACCCATTTGACAAAGAAAGATACTACTGCAGTCATTTCACTTTTTGTCAGAGTATTCATACATGCTGCCCTCACCTGTCTATGTGAGGCTGGTTCTTTGTCTAGTTAGACAGGGGAGATCGATGCAAAGATTGGAAACAGCCAGCAGCACATCATTCTACCTGCTTTCAGAAGCTCATTGTTGCAGAAAAATTGGTTGGAAAAATTTCTAGCACAGCAATGTCTCATCAACATTTCTATATGAAACAAAAGAACAGCAGCTAAAACAAGCCAGTGAGGTAGCAAAACAAATCCATGACTTTTGATTATTTACCATCTTATTTTTAGAGGTAGCTTGGTGTATTGTCATCTAAAAGAAAGTGGGGCAAGTAAGCGTTTGACAAGCTATCATGAAAGAGAACAGCTTCCAAATTATAGACATAATATTGGATGATCAAAAAATATGAATCACTTTAGATTTTTATACAATTGTAAATGGCCCTTCTACAAAGTGTCACAGAACACTCCCCATGCCAGTGCACAGGAGCATGCCAAGAATAAAGCAAATCTGATATGTTCTTTGCCCTATGGATGCGCCCCTGCCCTTACAAGTTCTTTCCCTCTGAGATAGTTCCAGGCCAGAAGGACCCAGAAATCCTGGCCTTCTGCATAATTCAGACCTAATCTCTCATCTAGTAATTCCTCCATCAGCAGTAGTTCATCCTCTGTTTTAATACAACAGAGATTTCACTACAGATAACTAACATAAAAGAGAAAAAGTAAGAGAAAAACAGTAATTTCAACACTTATAGCAAGAGATCAGTTCACTAGTTTGTAACCAGATGTTAGAGGCAGAGTACAATTGAAGGTTAGGGATGTACGAAGCTTTGGTCCCCGATTTGATTCGGCAAAGATTTGGCCCGATTCAGTGGCTGAATCTCCAAATCTGAATCAAATCAGAGGGCCCTTTAATCTGTCTGAATCAAACTGGAACTCTCCTAATTGATTCAGAGAGATTCGGAAAGGTTTGGCGATTTGGATATAGACACAGATTTAAATGTTTTTTCCACATACCTCAAGGTACCAGGAGGCTTATGAATGCTGCAGTGCTGAGGCAGATGGAGCATCCCACAGGAGCATGGGGGACTCCCCAGCTCACTCAGCAGCAGACCTGGAAGTGGACTAGAAGCACTTCTGGTCCACTTTTGGATTTGCTGTGTTGTGCGGGGGGGAGAGGGGCTGCAACCCCCAGGCTCAGCGACTTGTGCCTCCTGGGTCTGGGGCGTCCCCCAGGGTCCCCCTGTGGTTGATTGCTGAAATGGAGAGGCATGGG